TGTTCCATGCTTTGGAGCTATCTGCAGTCGACTTACAGACTGGTGATATGTATCAGGTGTCTTAACCCAAATAAACAAGCTTATGCATGGTTCAATGAAGTTGCACCAGCATTCGTTGCCAGTAAGAGCTTATTTCTAAGCCACACATCAACTGATCTACACAGACAGAGCTGTGTGTGTATTTGTCAGTCATGTAAGATTTACAAATATTGATGTTATTATGGGATTTGGATTTGTATATTTATATATTCACTGCCTTGTAGATAAGCACGCAACCAAAACTGTGGGAAATGAATTAAAGCAGTTCTGCTTTCTTCAGCACGGTTTTTAGAAAACAGACTGCTAATTAGCAAGCACATGCAAAGAGACTTGTTATCTCCAACTTTCCCAGAAGTAAATCACTCTTCCAAGAAGAAAATTCTGTCGGATCTTCATCCATATCTCATTTGAGGGGTTATGTGTCCCAGATTTATGGATTGCTAAAAAAAGGAGGGATTGGTGTGAAGACTTCTTTTTGCCACGTTGTAAGGCACGCAAAATATCTTGTCATCAATACCATATTTTTATCGAACTGCTCCCCTATTTCGGTTTTTTAATGTATTAATGGATAGAAGAGATGGATCTGACAAATAAAAAAAAAAGTTAACCTTTATTACTTATTGTGCATATTCAATTATTGAGACCACAAATAATTCACGATTTAAGACAGTCACACTGAAATCCATTGCAGTTTCTGACATAAGCGAGTTATTGGTGTGAAGGAGCACGTCAGATAAAATGCAGTTTTTTTCAATCAATTCAGTTTAGTGCTATTTCTTATTAAAACGGCCCGGTATATCTAAACGACCAAATACTTTAATGGGGAAAGAGCAAAAGACATGTCTTCACAAATTATTTTTCCCATGTGTTTTATCTTTTCTGAATATTTGCTGATTCCATCCTTTAGACAAACTAACGACGAGGCTGTAGATATTTCCGAAACTATGACTTTGATATGGTATTTTTCTTTTCTTGTTTTCTCTATATACTTTCAGGCCTACCCAACTACCAGACTCGGCACCGAATGATCCTGAATTCACCGGTAGATCAGACCACACTACCCGTTTTCAAGGTGTGTGTCAGATCGCATTACATAGTAGCATACCCTGAACAAATTTTGAGTGGTGATGCAATGCATTTCAACCCAGCTGAGAATCGTCACTATCACATCGCGTACTAGGCAAGAGCGGTGTCGCGTCTGATACTGTTTAATGCGATCTGACACACACCTTGAAAACGGGTAGTGTTGTCCGATTTACCGGTGAATTCAGGATCATTCGGTGCCGAGCCTGGTAGTTGGGTAGGCCTGACTTTTGAACTCAACATGAAATACGTTTCACCTGAATTTACCATTCGTCATTTAGCACAGCGAGGATTGGAAAATGTAACTGCTTATTGTGACGTCGACCGTGTCTATCTGTCTATCATAATGTGCCACTTAGTACTGGTGTCATTGACCCTTTCTCCCAACAGTGTTGCTTTAATGGAATGACGCAGTTTATAAAACGGATTGTTGCTACCATCTTTGCAAATTACACTCCCGGTGTCAAAAGCATAGACACACAAACGTCAATATCTCGGCGAAAAAATAAAACGAGATCCTCCCCCTATGTCAATTATCACATAACTGATGAAATATCCCCGCAGCGTCTGTTCGAACGCACGTTCAGAGAAATTAAGTGCCCAGTAGTTCACTTGAGGTCAATGCAATTCACAGAGCGCAAACCTCGATATTTGAAGTTCCCATAGCCTTGGGAGTGATAATTCGGTATAACCTTTTGAATAAACTGGTTAGTGATTCAAATTGACGGCCAACGATAACCATTAGGATCGAACCATCGCTTTCATTATTTTCGCCTATACATGTGTCACTGTTCATATAGATCTGTGTTCCTGTTTGCTTGCTTGTTTTCTACCTAGCCCCACTCTGCCTGTTAGTCAAGAGTTTGGTGTGAAAATACCTTCTGTTTACTTCCATGAATATCTTCCACGCCACAGCGACAAGTGTCAAAATCAATTTCGAGAGATTAAATATTTATAAATTGATCTTCCAACAGCTCAGAAGGTTCAACAGCTTAGTCGGTGGACAAGCAATCGGCAAAACGATCGACCTGAAACCACACATTCCCGTCTATACATGCATCCCTGTGTCTCGCAGATTGATCAAAACATATCTCGTATCAACTCATTCCGAATCTACGAATCTAGGAGATGGAGATAGCTAGATAAAACCCGATTAATAAAAAGAGCGCTTTAGATGTTATTTTCAAAAGTCGCTCCATGGCATTTAACTTTAGGTTACTACCTAGTGCTACGTAAACTCACTTTGACAGAATGGCATGTCGAGTTATCGGGTGAAATGAAGGGTTATCAGCAAACACCCAGTTGCCTTTGACAGATTATGACAGGTCTCAGCCTATTACGGTATCATACGGCTTCACACAGAGACGACACGGCAGTATCTATGCTACGTGATTATTTTGAGACCCACTACCACGGAGATTCACGCACTGTGTATGAGTGTTGTTATACAAAGTGTGTGTGTGCGTGTGTGTGGGTGTGGGTGGGTGGGTGTGGGTGTATGTGTGTGTGTGTGAGAGAGAGAGAGAGAGAAAGCAAGCTCCTGTGCGTGCGTGCGTGCATCAGTGCGTGTATGTGTATGGGGGTTTCGTATGGGTGAAGCAGCTCTATGAGAGAGAGAGAGAGAGAGAGAGAGAGAGAGAGAGAAGGCAACTACCATCATTTCACCAGTCTCGCGGTTATCAATTTATTGTATCTGCAAATTTTGAAGGTACCATGGGGAACACTGATAAGAAATGGTACCTAGATATGTCCCATGAATATGAGGTAAAGTACTCAGTTTTGCTCGATATTGGCAGAACAGATGCTCCGAAACAAATGGTGCATAGTCTGCTTTGATGGATCTTGTGAACTCAGCTTCATAGGTGATTTACCGAACGTGCTAAATATAACCGGAAGGGGATTACTAGCGTTTTCGGTCCATCAGATTGATGAAGTGATATTCACAATTAATGCGCCAATGCACTGCAGCGGCTCCTTTCTAGTCCCCAACGTAATCTACCTTTTTGGTGACGTCAGTTAAGCTTTTTAGGTTTAGGTTGATTTGCATCTTTGTATCCCCAAGACTCCATTTAGAGAAAGACTTGTTAAAGTAAATGTACGTATGTGCTAAACAAGGTTACAGCTCAGACGTACAGGCAAATCCAGATTGCTTTCTATTTTACTCATCTACATACTATTTTGCACATAGTTGTGCCGAGGGAAGTACTGCACTGTAGCACAATCCTGAATCGGCTACTGCTGTCAATGATTATCTAAATCAGTCGTAGATATTGACCGACCTTGTCAGATATTTACCAGCACCAACTACCAACACAACGTAACTTTACAATTAAACTTATTTGGAACCAATATGCAAGTCGTAATGTCTTTTTTTTAGTTTTGTCCCTTATACATTCGTTACAATTACATTCGTGAACTCTTTCGCATTTATACGGAAGATGCTAGAGTTTAAATTATTTTGAAGCGATACTATTTTCATGAAGTGCATTTGTATCACTTCGAGGCAAGAAACATTTTGAAAAACAATGCAAATCAATATTTCTTTTCGTCTCAAAACCAAGCATATTCACTGAATGCACTTTCCTGCCCAGAAGAAGAAGAGCAAATTATGAAGAAAAACCCTGGCAAACATTTAGAACAATACATAATATGATTGCTCTTTATTCCCATGCGAGTGATTGCCTTCGATTGCACGATATTTAAACCAATAATTTGACAGTGCTGCCACAGAAGCAGTGATTATGAATACTTATCGAGTTATAGAATGATGTTCAATAAAATATATATCGTTGAGAAAGCATGACTGGAAAGATATATTGTGCAAGAAGCAATGTCTTGATTTCCAATACACTGGTTGTGGTTTGTTCTTAAACACAGTAAGCATACCGTAATATATCTAATTTAATAGTAAGCAATTAATTGCCAGCGATCAGCTTGGCGTACATGGTCGTTTCTCGTGACTTATCTTATCGGCTATAAAACCAGGCCATTGTCGTTTTTATCGGTTGAAACCATTGCAATACATCTGTAAAGAACGAGTATAGTGTACTTCTATTCGGATGCATTTAACATGGTTTTAAGTAAGATCGCCTCTCTGTTGACAGCAGGAAGAAAACTTTATGATTGCATGAACCAGCCATGAACCCGCCATGTTCCAAACAACCATCAAAATATCTTTCAGATCTGGTGAAACCGGTTTCCACGGTGAATTTCAAAATTGCAATGAAACCGTTAACTTTCCAGACTTTCTGCAGTAAAACTAAAACATGTTTCAGCTTAAGTGGTGTTTGTCGATGGCACGGCTAAATTTCACTTCATATGAGGCGGTATGGGCATTTTAAACACTTCTTTACTGAAGCCTTCCACTGCGCTCTAAGAATATTAAAGCCAATATTAAATTTCATCTGCAATCTCAGCAATGCTGCCGGGGATACGGGTCAATCTTAATTGTTTTAGTCATTTTATAGATATTTGTCGTACATGAGATTTTTTCAGCTAGGTGCATTCAGCATTCATAAAAAAATACGACCGGCATTTGAAGCATCCTAAAGCCTTTTTCAAATATATTATCATAGACAAGCTAACATATACTACCTGAGTCATTAAGAAATATTTACTGAATGCTGCTTAGGCGTTGCAATAGAGCGTGACATTGTCAGATGGTTTCACTTAGAAGCGCCTCAAGATGTCCCTGAATTTGGGTTCAGTTCTTTTTTTAGACTTTTTTTAGATAAGCAGTGCTTAATCAGTAACTGAAATGCATCATCGCTGACGCCTTCCTGTCTAACTTAAAACAAGTTCATTGTGTTCTTTTATTCTAAAGATAGCACTCCACATATGATTTTGTCAACAATTCAAAAAATGTGTTGGTGACTTACATGGTCGGGTGGCGGGCAGACGAAGTTTAATTCCGATTCTTCTCCATCCAGAGCAACTGACAGGCGGATTTCATGGCGAGTATCATCTGCAAGAGATAATAATTTATGAAAAATAATGTCGCTCTCTCTCTCTCTCTCTCTCTCTCTCTCTCTCTCTCTCTCTCTCAAACCGAACAGCCACCCAAAATAAATAAAACAGGCAGATAGTCTTTGTTTAAGCTAAAATAAAGCTTAATTTCAATGTAAAGTCCCACCGACCGGTTTCATTACCAACGAAACTTCATTTGTGCATTCATGAACTACACAGATGAGTGAAACTCCCATGTGGGAACAACCCGGGAACATCATCGCGCAACACGAAATCATCTAAGACCTTCCGAACCGATTCCACCAACAGTAATTGCATCTCTCGATTACCAAAATAGCTCCATTTGGTAACGTTACTGCAATTATTTAGTCCGTAATCTACAGTTAACTGTGCAGTTAGGTGCAAATATCATGATCGCTTCTGCTTCTGGATTACACGTCAGATTATAAGACCAACATACTTAACGTTACGAGGGGATGAGTGTCAAAATGGGGAATAAATGGGCAACAACGTGGTGTTTAAACCCATTCTCATTATTGTGGATCCCAAAGAGTCTTATATAATCAGTGGATGCTGGTTTTATTTGGCGTCTTGCCTTTCCATTGCCCAGGTTATGTAAACACACAAAAAAAACAGCGACGATTCAATAATGTATGGGTAACAGAAATGATATAACATGGTATACATATAAGAGATTCAGCAAGTCCAAGAAGAACTAACTTTATGTTGGCGGGCATCACCCATATATATATATATATATATATATATATATATATATATATATATATATATATATATATATATATGGCTTTTAGTGGGGAATATATCACAAAATAGCTGCCAAGGTGAGACACATAATGACCAATACACCAGATATATGTACTTTTTTGCCATTTGATTTCAAGTATATGTTCAATTCATACAAAATGTCCATGATATTTCCAAATCGGAACATTGGTTATGTCTAAGGCGAATGCTAGTCCAAGATACAAATGCCATTAAAGCACAGTTGAAAGATGGCACAAACGGTCTCACTTCTTTTTCGAGACAAAGGCGTTTTGTGGCGAATCCACTTGCGTTTTTTATTTTGTCACTGGACACTTACAAAAAATCATTCCCGCTATGTTCAATTGTGCACGGCGAAGTGAGTAACACTTCAAAGTAGACGACTTTAAAGGACCGGATCCTGTGCATCAGACCTTGGAAAATGAATCTACCAATTAGTCCCTTGCAAGCGACGAAGCTGACAACAACATTGTTAAGCTTTAAGGAAGTTGATAGTTTGAAGCAAACATCAATGAAAGCGGTTCAAAGCAACGGTGAAAGCTTAATCTTTACCAAGGTTCACCGCCCGCCGTTCCTTAATGTCCAGGTAATTGCCAGAGTATAAATTGCCGGAATCTGGCATTATGCTTCAACGAATCCGTTCTCTCGGTAATACCGCAATTAACATGTATTAGGGTTGGGCTGGGCGTTGCCAAGATTTGGCATTGGCTAACTTCCCAACATAATCATAGGTAAGAACTAGAATCATGGTTGTATTTAAAAAAACGAAATGAGAGATAATAGGTGTCTTGGCTTCGAGTTATATAACATACGTATGAGGGGTCGAAGTTCATACGATTTCAGCACTGATGTGTTATGTGGTGTAAAGAGTCGCAAAGTAAAAGTAATTGTGGACTTCAGACATATAAATAAGTTACAATGCAGTTGAATGACGTGTGGATGACCTCAGCCCGGATTCAGACACTTAGCCCGAAAAGTTGTCTGAACGATTAGACCAAATTTTTGCTCGACAACATGAAAAAAACATAAAATCCAATTAGATCATTTGCATGAAAAATCAGAAATGCCTTTCGTTAAATAGCCGCAATATTTCATTTCATTTGGCTACTGTTGATATATTTTCGGCCAAACATTACCAAGATTTTGGCCCAAAAAATTTTAGACCAATGTTCGGGCTATAGTAGTGGTTCTTCTGTAAACATAGAATGCTCACGTACATTCTAGTTACAGTCTCAAGACAGAACGGTTATATGTTGAGATGGTTATGCATAGGTCCATTGTACCATTTTGGTATCTTTATGGCTGATAATGACCGTGTCGGGCGCTCCGTACGGCTACGTTAAAACCTTCACACCATCCTGCACATGTAAAATCTCTCAAGATACCATATCATTGGGCCACTTTTCATGTGTGATGATAAAACTACATTATAATTTCAAATAAACTCGATATACATGTTTTTTGACTGTGTGTTGGTTATAAATGAATCTCATGGGTTGGTTAAGAGACAAATAAATAATTAATGAAGTAGTTAAATAAATTTAATAAAGAACCAAATAGATATAAACCCCATTATGTATTTTTAATAGAAAAATAAATTTGATTGGTTGGCAAATGGATGATGAATGTAGTAACTCAATAAAAACGAACAAACATAATCAAATAAATAAATGGATACCCCATTGTGCCAGCAAAAACTAACCATAATTTAACAATCTACCATGATCAATGAAATCGATGTTCTGTACCGATTTTAAGCTTGACCTTACTGGTTGCGTGAGAATTACGCACTCAGTCATATCTCAAGACGGGATCGTTTATATCTCAATCGCATCCTGTCGTTTAATAGCCAGCTCCCCTGTGGGTGTCACTTGGTATATGTACGACAGTCACGTAATGCTTTCTGTGGCCGAAGTTCTAATTGGCATCGAATTTCTCCTTCTTGCATGGAACTTGCATTATCATCATTTATTCCAACTGTCAAATTCCTAACATGTGTTTTCTATTTCATCCAGAAACATTGTTTGTAAGCGATAACTTATTCAATTACTTGCATACTTCAATCAGAAAAAAAATGCACGCGTGTAATATACATTAACACACATAAAGAAATAAAATACATGTAAAGTGTATATAAAAAAGCATAAATTAGAGCGTTTCAGTGTAACTGCAACTGAAGAGATCTTACCTAGAGAAATACAATCCTCGAAAAAGAGAGGACTTAATGATATTGTACGCAAAAGTGATATTCGGGAAATTAGTTTTTTTATTTCTAATCGGACACTGCTTCTGACTTTGAGGTTTTATCGTGTCTGTTAAAAAGAAATAATACAATTCCAATACGATCCACGTCTGCTCTCTCACGCAGGTACTTCTTGGAACAATATCGAACGGGTCAAAACATACCAAGGCATATTTTGTTCTGCCAATCGACGACATTGCTGCAAAACGATGACCTGAACTTCTCTACTGATCTATAAAATTAAAGCTTTGATTTCAACTATAAGAATAACTTATATTGGAGCAACGCAATGTCTGAGTTTGAGTCACCATTGCATAATAGAATGTTACCGCAGATCATGCCATTCTTTAAATGCACGCAGGAACACTTTGGTATTAAAGTATAAAGCACAGAATTATTTTTTCCTGGAATTTTCAACATTTTCCTCTTAATCACCAAGGTGCACCATGTCTTAACCCGTTGATTAAATTTCAATCTAAACACCTGGTTCTGAGTTCTTGGTTTCTAATTTCTGAGGTATGGTGAAGAATCCTCTTGCAATAGAGATGGAAACTGGCGAGTTTCACTATATCGGTACAAGTTAGAAATAAAGAGGTCCAAAATTTCAAAATGGGTTTACAGGTAAAAATTTCTTAGCAATTTTGGATAAGGTATACCTTGCAATATAAAGGCGTAACGCTTATTGCATGCCTTAAACAGTCTCAATGTAAAGAATATTCGGGATGCATGCTGACTGCCCTCCCTGAAATATCTTTCAATTATTTCCCACGACATGATTGATGACGGTTTAGGAAAATATCGCCTCATCAAAACTGCATCGTATAGGCTAACACCCGGCCATCACTGACAATTTCAAGGTCTGGGTGATGATGGCGATTTATACCATGGAAAGTATACGACGGGATCTTTCTGTATTCGTGGTGGTTCTCATATCTTGATTGGGAGCTCAGTTTGGCAACTGCCTTGTTTTATGTTCCGTAGTCTATGCTTAATGCAGTCCGTAACTAGAAAAGCACGCAAAGAGACCAGGTCTCCGCCAAGCCAATTTAATTCTCATTATTATAAATTATTCATAAATCAGCTAAATAATTAACTTAATTCTCATTTACAATTAATAAATGAATTATTTGTGGAGTCATAGGCAAGCTGGCAATCGTAAATTATCTTTTCAAAAATTCCTGGTTTTATGATCAGATGGTGATCGGGATCACAAGCAAAATATGATCACTTTTTGAGTTTGACCACTTGCTGAGATATTTTAAAAGTTAATTTTTTACGTATGGCTGGTGACGAACACAGACCAAGGGAAGGGAAAACGAAACCTCCTTTGCGGAAGTAAATATTTGGAGGCAAATGTGAAAACCCGGATTTCATCAAAATTGCTGGTGTGACGTGACAGAGAGCCTCGCCATTTCCGGCAGACCAACATTTTTATAACGAACAGTCTGTCGGAATACCATTATTAAAACTAGGAGGGGTCTCAGGACGCTATGTTTTGAATCTCAGGGTCCTGACGGTCCTGGGATCATTAGTTTATATTACACCAGGAGTCTCCGTTTCACGATCTATCGGAGGGGAACCTGTTTTTGATGTGGACCCTGGTTTCTGAAACTGAGGGTGCAGGACTAACGGTCACACCGGAATCTCATAATAGTCACACCGGTCCGACTTCATTATTGATTTGAATTGGACCGCAATTTTTTTAGTTTCGCTTTTAAAAAGATTTTGGGGGATTTATACAAAATGCTACCCTTTTCCTTTCTTCCAATCTATCAGAAGCTTCTTACTTTTCTTTCAATCAGACTGCTACTACAGTCGGTATGTATAAAAAAAACCCTGTTTGCACGTTAAATAAGATTTCAACAGCTTTTCCCTCCCCCGAGAATTTTTTCTCAACCTGGATAAGGCTGATAAGGTGTCATAAGTATGATTGTAAGGGAAAGCTCGTCCAAGTACGGATCCACATTTGCTTATCTATGATTTCACTTTTATTATGCCCATCTCAGCTTACTGGATTTTGGCATAAAGCATATTGCAGCCAGGACCTACTATACATGTTCTTCATTCTTCAAGGTTATTCTAACATGGGCAATATGCTGTGCAAATATCGCCGCAAACACCTGTCGACATATTTATATTGCTCACAATTTTATCGTATATATAATAATATATATATATTATTGATGCCGCATATTACTTGTAGATTCTAGTAGCCGATATGCGTGGCGAAACGGCAGTATGGTGTAAATTTATATTTGTTATTCTTATTATATTTACGAAACCATTCTTAATGTACTATGTTAAACAGTAATCTCTCTCTCTCTCTCTCTCTCTCTCTCTCTCTCTCTCTCTCTCTCTCTCTCTCTCTGTGTGTGTGTGTGTGTGTGTGTGTGGGTGGGTGTGTGCACGCGCGCGCGTTCACCAAATCACTCTCACGCTACCTATGTAGTTGTGCATATATACATCGCTGCCAGAGTGTTTGGCAAACAAAGCAGCGTCATCAAACAATATTGCCGATATCAGTATGACCATTGATAAGCATTTCCTTCATGCTTTCTTTTTTGTTTTGTCAGTTGCAGGATAAGCAATAGATTAAAACAGGAGTTTTACGTTAATGCCCCCTGATAAAGAGTTAAATGCAACCGAACTGTGACAGATAATTGGTTTACACCGGTTCATTTGACACATCTTAATGCAAGTGCCATGAACAATGGCCTGACGCCGGTGTGGTTGACCGCGGTTGTTTCCTAGAACACGGCCAAACCGTTTTTCCCAAGAGAATGGCAATACCTTGAGGTTACTTGGGCTTTCCACATTCCGCGCCCCTTTGAGTCGAATTACAATAATTGATCCCAATACAAGTTCCATTACAGACTTGTATGTTGTATTAGCACGTGTTTGTTAAGTGTGTGCCAGAGAGAGAGAGAGAGAGAGAGAGAGAGAGAGAGAGAGAGCAAGCAAGCTCCTGTGTGTGCGTACGTGCATCAGTGCGTGTATGTGTATGGGGGTAACGTATGGGTGAAGCAGCTCTATGACGCAGCCCTTGGACCAACTAGGTCCATATTCAGCTAGCACAAAAAAAAAAGGTTGACGTCGGAGGCCTTCAAAAAACGGTGAAATGAAATGAAAACACTCCTAAAAAGATTTTGAAGAATTCACAAGATCGATTATTTCTAGTACGGTGACCTCTCATTGTTCCCTCTACCTTTCTTTACGTTTTGTTTAAAATTGTTTTAACAGCTGTAAAAAATCTTTATTTCACCATTCCGAAAGCCACATAAACACGTTCATAGTTATACCCTATATCTGTGCTTGTGGGGTTAAAGGTAGGTTCTTCTTCTTGGATAAGAAATCTGAATGTTCTATTCTGGTGTGCCCTATGACAAGATCATATGCAGTCTAGAGACAAGTTTCCTTCTATTTCCCCGAATTTTACAAGCTAAACATCGGAATTTAGTACAGTGTCAACCATATGTATAGCTACACTTATCAGATTTCAGTGGGGCTTTGGTGCATCGTGCATTTACATATCTGTTCAGCACTGTAAAACCCATATGGGGTAATATATATATAAGATATATATACACACCTGCACCTGCAGTCGCACTGTAATAAGCTATAATTAACTGCCTTCCTACACCTCTAATAGTGGAGTCGTGGTAAATCCTGTCTAACAATACAATTATTGTCGAATAAATTATCATATGTTGTAGAGATATCTTCCGTCCAGAGGAAGTCGCTCTCTGTATCAAATCTTTGTACAAAGTCTAAAATAATTTTCCACTGAGTACAGTTCTGTTAGCTTTTTAGCACATTTCATTCAGATGGTTTTACACCTGCTATTTTATATCGGGTTACAATCATAAGAAAAGATAGGCCTACCAGTTCTACTTCTATACACTGTTTCAATGTCCTGAATTAATATGAATTATATAGAGTATCAGTTCGCTTCCAGAGCAAAAAATGAAATCAATCTTAAGGTACTGCAGGCGTATCCTGTTCAAATAAATGATATAAAATGCTATCTGTATTAAGTCGGTTCCAAAAGGTTGCATTGATATGGTGAAATAAGACTGAAACCAGTGCGACGCTAAATGAATGCGCTGCAACTGTGTATTTCGTTTGTAAGATCAAAGAGAGCTGGGGATTTACTCGTACTTGGACATGGACAATCCATGATAAATGGCGTCTCAGACAGCTTTTATCATCCAGAATGGTATAAAATTGATTCAAGGAAACGATCATGCTCTAAGCTTCCAGAATGACAGGTGCTGTTTAGTCTCGAGTGGGGCGTTTGTGCGTGGAGATTTCCGCGTGGGAGTTGCCGTGAGTGCACAAAGTGCGCGTAGGCGGGGTTACGGGTTGGGGGGGGGGGGGGGGGGGGGAGGGAAGACTGGCCTATTAGACTAATAGAAATGCTATCTGTCTGGGGATATTCTGACTGATGGAGTATCTTTGTGGAGTTAAGTGCCGTTCATAGCACATTTAAGCGAAGGAAAATTGATGGTCGCGTCTCAGCACATTTTGGTATCGAACTTTTGACATTGCTTAAGCAAATTAAGCCAAGATTTGGGTGGAATTGCTGTGACTTTTTCCTTCATTAGCCTTTTAACGTGCTGGAACCAAATTTATATTTTAATTCTTTATGGACGGATAGCATTGCATTTAGCCATGTTATGTGGGGTTCCATATACATATACATATACATATATATGAATATACATTTTTATGCAACGTGTAAGCGTGCTTCTAAAGCTGTACGTTCCAGTTTAAAGGTCCATGGTCAAGTTCAGAAGATATAATATATTACAGTTTCATAAGTACAACATGTGAGCTGTAACTTTTTGTCAGGGAGATTGTCGGGTCATCAAATTTCAGCTAAACCACTCTGTTCTCCCACACAATAAACCATTGTCTAATTTTCAACCCATTGCAACATAAGAACAAGAAATCGTTTTCACTGACACCGCTGAGAAATTTCCCCTGGAAGTACAGTTCATTACATGTGTAGTCACCCATCCCAGTGAATACTCAATGGGTGTCATATAGGCCAGGGGCTGTGTAACAGGTTAAGTGGCTCTAGACGACACAATAAATGTAGAGGACCAGATAAATTGTTTGTGGATACGTCTTTTCAAAATGCATAACATACAAAATCTCTCTCTCTCTCTCTCTCTCTCTCTCGCTCGCTCGCTCGCTCACACACACACACACACACACACACACACACACACACACACACACACACACACATGTACGCGCAACTTTGCATATGATATGATATGATACAGCCATACGCATTGTTTTGTCCACAGACACAATCAGGAGTTTTAACCAGAGCTCCATGCATTCCTTACCTTCTGAGGTGTTAAAAGTATCCAGGTATTCGCACGTGGTGAACTGTTGTGTTATTGCCCTCCTGCCAGACCCATGTGCTCCCAGCATGAACACTCTGTACTTTTTCAGCCCTTCCCCGTCGTCTCCCTCCTCCGGGGCAGGTGCGTGTTTCTTAGCACTAGTATGCGAATGGATACTCCCCTCCCTCCCCAGTAACGTTGTCCCTTGTCCCCCCGAGGCGTCCTGCTGGACACCGCCCGTAGCTCCTTTGGCGGAGTTTATGGAATTCACACTAACGTTACTCCTGCCCTTTCTGCGAAACGAATCTCCCCTATGCGTGATTCCGCCTTTCGGCGAGAGGTGAAACTCCCTGACGCGTATACAATCCCCGTCCTGGTCGCTGTCGTCCCCGGGCATCTTGTGGGCACTCCCTCGTTTATCGTCCGAGTCCGGGAACACCAGCATCGGTAAGCTATTCGTTCTAGTCCGAGCCGCGTTGAAGGATTCTCCGTCGCTTGCCTTGGGCTTCACGCTCCTCCGCACGGAACCGGAGCGTTTCACCGAGCCTGATCTTTTCACGGAACCTGACCTTTTCACAGACCCTTGCCTCGAAGTTGGTGCTGACACCGCGGGCCGTTGAGCATCGGTCGAGACCGATAAAAGCTGGTCCTGCACTTGCAGCTTTGCTGCCTGTTCAAACAACTTGCTGAAGTCGGTCGGACCGCAGTCCGGAGAGTTGGAGTTGGCCTCCACGTCCATTTCAATTTGTGGCGGGTCCGCAGTCATCACCTTGCCGTTCTCCCTTGTCATTTCTACGTTAAACAGTTATTTTCTGATGTAAATATGTATTACAAAACACAATCTGAATATTACAGACTCAAGCTGTTGTCATTTTAATGGCATCCTCCCATTCCTGCGAGATCAAAATACACAAGGCGTTTTCTATCTCTTTCTCTCTCTGTCTGTCTATCTCTCTCTTTGTGTCATCAATTTCCGTCAACTCCGTCAGATAGAGCTGCTGATCCTCAAGTGATACAAGTCCCGTGCTGCAGCGCGTGTTATTGCCTTGAAGCACGAGTCCACGAGAGGCAAGATGATTGGACTTTTGAAAATCGATCACTGTCGCACGTATTAGCGAGCCACACACTGACAAGTTTCGCCAACAACCACTGAAACCCGGCAGGAAATTATAGCAATACCGTCGTGCAAAAGTTCACCTACTACTCCAAGATATATCGAGCCGATTTTTTCCGCTCGACTTATGACATTAGCTAAATTACTGCGATTACGTTTGACTTATCATCTCCCCGGCATTCGTCCCGTTTCTGATCGTAAACTCCGCGGGACCGACTTCAAATTTCTCAGAGGTCGGCAGCACGTCTATCTCTCCCGAAGCTCCGAAGCAATGAGTAATATGCGCGATAGATGCCTGGATGACGTGGTATTTATACGTCACCTCCGACCTCGAGGGGCTGCGGAACCAACACTACCATCCAAGTCTCACGTACATGTAGCACAGCATACACGCACATTGGCCGCATTATTGGATTATTAAAAGCAACGCACGCCAGTTCGAAATGACCGTAATTCACGCTGCGAAACGCGTTTATCTCACCCGTAATCGCCCAGGTATTTATATAACCACATATTGAAGAGAGATCGGCCAACCAAGAACAGCTCTCTCATGTGAGAGCCTCAACCATGCCTACCGATATTTCGAGACAGAACTGCGCAATTGAGCCGCTTGTTCGTCTTAAAACCTAACCAGTTAAATGTAAACAGACGGTCTACCTTAACGAACTCTCACGCATGGTTATTAAACCGTCATAATATAAGCGGGTGCTTTCCGAGAATAGACAGCAGAACTCTGTAAATTATTAATTAGGTTAAATAACCTTAAAACGCCAGTAAAATATACCGGCGTGTGTTTAATATAAATGGGCTGGTCATAGATTTTTTTTCGGATCTGAAATGAGCGAGTCGATATTAAACCCAACTGTCAGGTCATCTTATGTGAGATTCGCACGATATCCAAACACTGGTGTTTATAAGGAGCTCTGGAGCCCCGGGATTAAGATGGAAACCAGTGAATGTGTATTTCTAGTCTACATGGAGATACCATTATCCAGTAAATTAAGACCGGTTGGAGAGCCGGAGAAAATCTGTAAGCGTCTGATCATATCTCAGCCGTTTCATACACCTGTATATATAACAATGGCAACGATCAGGATGAATCAATACACTGACATTTGACACATTATTTTAAAGAGTCGTTTGAAGCGCTTAATCCCTCTCGTCAAACGACACTTGAGTTAAAACCCTCGTTTGATTTGCATTGTCATCGAAAGCAATTGCGGTTTACCGATCGCTAAATTTAGATCTAAGCAAGATACTAGTACCAAATAAAACACTGCAGTATACCCAAGACCGTTTGAAGACATCGAGTTAAAATGAGCACAATATATCAGAGTAATTTACATTCTACTTTTACGAAAGTCAGTAACTAAAATAGCTGCATATCACTATTCGTAGCAGTACGTGTAAGTTATACATGCGTGATTCAATTTTGATGGCTTGACCTGCTGATATTGTGAAAAAGAAAAAAAAATGCTGTTTCATTTCTTGTGCTTCTGCTCACTATTCAGAATAAATAAGACATCTATCTATCTATCTATCGAGTAAGCTGCTTTGTAACCAGTTTCATCTACATGTATAAGCGTAAACACTTTCATTAATATATTAAAAAAACTGCACGTCACTAGTCGAAACTTTGCTTAGTGCTGCATACCCCTAAGCTTTAACAATCTAAATGAATATTTAAGATTAAGATATGACCCCTTGTTTAATGATGCGACTGCATGTACCCATGGACACTGGACACGGTGAGGAGTGGAGATGTAAGTGGTTAATAATAATAATAATAATCAGAAGAAGTTAGAAGAACAAATATATAAACGAATAAATAAATAAATTGGTTATAAAAGGAGAGGCTATTCAGTCTTAATTACCTTTAATGGTGGATTCAAATTAGACAGTTCTTCTTTATCAGACCATTCCAACTTACAACGGGGATATTGCACAATACAGACTGCCAACTATACTGAACATATCAGAAAACGGAGTCTTTTGGCTGTCTTTTCCACGCCTCATGTTCCTGCGCCACCTGGTGGCCATTATGTGAACCATATCTCTGATAATGAAGGTCATTTGAATCGTTATAACATATTACTAAGAATTGGCAGTGACTTTTACATGTACATGGCCAGTGATCTGGGTTTGATAGGTCATGTATTGCACAAAATTGTATTAGAATAAGTTTGTTTTATTGATTAATAGTTGCAATATAACGTGTTCGTAATAGATATGCATCAACAAGTGTTTGTCAGTTTTTCATTTGACTTTCGTGTATGAGGTATACCAAAATATCCCTCTAAGCTGACTTGGATACACGGACTCATAAAAAACAAAGGATAATTGTATGTGACATTTCAAAAAAATCTATATTATTGTTTTTATTGTTTTTCATTATACATGTATGTACATGTACACTGTAGATGTAGTGGAAATACATGCATGCCCAATAGCTAACATGGAGACAATCCATGACAATAAAAAGACTCAGGATGACTATATGTACATGTATATGGGTTCCGAAATCAAGTGAATCTTTGTGGTCGTCTTATAAACGTCTTATAGGCCTATGTGTTATTTACGAGCGGGGCGTAAGATGATGTACAGTATCACGTGGTTCGGTATTCACACAAACTAACTTTTCGAACAAAGATAAGATTCAGCCTCTCTCTCTCACACACACACACGCGCGCGCGCACACACACACACACACACATACACACATTAAAAAACAGGTGAATAACCTAAAGATAAACCAAGTTCGTATCCATGGTGAAATTGCATTAATAAGAGTCTTAATATCCACGGACAATAAATTCTCACAAAAAAGCACCTGTCTGTGGGGCATTGTTCCGTTGTATTAATCTCTCCAGACAGTTATTCAGGTTCTTGTCATTGCCCCGAAGGACCTAGTGTTTATCTTATTCATTTGTGCATTATTAAATTATGCATGTGTTCTTATTGAAAGTGTATCGATTTGTTTCTACGCGTAATCTGTGAGAAGTGCGGTTTGTAAGAACATGTGTTGATGATGAAAAAAAAGTCGGACACAGCCTTCATTCACGTAATAACATTGTAGACTTAGACTAAGGTGTGATATTGCGTCGATCAACATAAATGATTACTTAACATCAGCTACTGGGGATCTTGGGGGCATCGAGCACGTTCTCCCGCCCCCCCCCCCCCCCCCACACCTTGATAGTTTCTCGGATACTCCTCCTCTCCATTCACTCTACTTTAAAACAGTAGGAAGAGAGCGAGGAGAGGCAAAATTAAGCAAATAATATATCCTTTTACCTTACATGTAATAGTAAAACCATCCTCGTGTACTATATTTGCTTATAATTCTTGCCCCCCACCCCACCCCACCCCCTCTTAGAAATTCCCTGAACTTGTCAGTGTATCAGGATGGGTGTTTGTGTGATATATATATAGGTACACATTATTACACTACGACAATACTGCTCTTAAAAAGCTGCCCCTCGGAAGAGAATATCACGATGTCTTAAATAGGAGAAAATGTTATTCTACTTTATCGGTGTACTCTTCGACCCTATTCATTTTCGTTGTGACAAGTAGCACAAAATATGCACCTTTTATAGGAAGGCCTCGCCGTTAATTTACGTCTTAGGGAAGACGGCGTACTTATGCACAAAAGTACTCACACAATCAATTATCTTTTGCCTTTCGGTCAATGTTTTGAGGATATGAATTAAGTTTGTCTGCTCCATCCTCATATGCATATATCGACCGAGAGGCACAACGTCCCTAAACAAGCCTTCATTACAATAAGTTAAAATACAACACCATTAATTACCTCTGTTTGACTAATGTCAACCGTATTGATTCGCACGATGAATTTCCATTGACATAACATTGTTACTTTTAACCTAATTATATGCACGAACGTAAAAACGCATTACACGTGCTAAAAACATTTATTTATAACGTGTCAGATTTCAATTCTGAAGAACAGTGTAATTGTAAATTGCCACATCGAGCTTCATTGAAAATGACACCTTTCCAGAGTTTGAGTTTGATTGGGTCCAAAGATATCTGGCACGTTTGGAAATCAATTAATTCATCAATTATTTAATTATTATGCCAATGAATTTGTAATACTGACACCATGTCACCATTTGTTTTCATTTGTCTTGGGATTGGGGACGTCAACATACAGCATTTGTTAATTAGACAAAAGACGTTTTTGCATGTGCGAAATAAAAGAGATTAATTTCCCCAGACTAATTATCTATGCTAACAATTAAACAATACGATTGCGCGCAGATGTGGCATCGCCAAGTCCCTTTTTTAAGTTAGACAATTAAGCAGTAATTTGTTTGAAGTGGAAACCTACAGATGCTCTTAATTTCGTGCGTCTCTCTGGAGAGAGAGAGAGAGAAAGAGAGAGAGCACCTACCGCATTTCGTAAATGTGTACATCCGTTCTCTGACTGTACACATGAGCGCAAACGAAGTGGCATTTATTCAAAACTTTCTTTATCAAGCAAGCTTAACACATTTAAACGTGAAATATATTTACAGGCAATCCTACATAAGAGATCAGACGAAACAACAACCCATCCCTATCAAAAAATAAAAAAAGAAATGATCTGATATCTAGCCAAGTGTCCACTGCGCCATTATGAAGCCAATAACTACGTGATACCAAAGGATTAAAAGAGGAATCTCTGGAAAAATGCTCGAATGGTGCAACTTTTAGCAAGGTGTTTATACAGTTATATGCTACCTCTAGCCTTCCCTTTTGGGTGCAAATAACCATAATGAAGGTGAGAAGAATAATCGTAGGTCCTACATATTACCCATTACTATATGGCACGTGGTGAATGTCTAATCAATATAATAGGTTTTACGTTTAATATCAAGCAAATTTCTTAAGAATGCATTAGTGAAAACTCCGTCGGCATCAAGTGACTCTCGGATGGTTTTGAATATGTCCAAGTCGAGACCGTAGCTGAGCTTAATCCGCTGTTTCAGGTTTGGAAACACCTGGTGAACTTTACCCCAGTGAGGACGCCCCAAGTTTCCGATTTTGTCCCATTCTTGTATAACCTGGAAGTTAAAAAAAGAAAAATAATAATAATAGGTACTTTTTCTATGACGCCTTTTTAATATGTTGACTAGTATCAATACCCAGGATGAAGGTGTTCTCATATTCGAAGTTATATTATTTATACGTTATTAAATTACCTGACTGTGCAGCGTTCTGTCCAGTAGCCTGTTTCTCAATAGAACTTTTTAAAAATAGACCACAAAATTTAGACTGCCCAGTATACAGCATTAGTCTTATTAAATAAAATATTGCGTCTGTTTTACAGCTGTAACAAGAAAGAAGACCCAACATTTTATCATTTTATAAAAAAAAACATTTTATCAATCTTAGTGGACTACTGCACCATCCCCCAGAACTTAAATAAATCAAATGTTCTGAGTAACTTTTCGTATTAGGTCCTGTTGTGAAACCTGCCCCAGTCGGTGACAAGTTTGTCCACAATAATATCGTCGTGCAAACACCAGATGTCAGTTAATTCATTTTGTGGTAGTACTTATTATGCATGTATATTGAAGGTGCTATCTCAATTAAAGGGTGTGGGTGTAATACTGCATATACACAACTAATTTCACATCCACGTTTACTTTTACCTGCATCATCAAAATTCAAAACGTGTAGAGTAAATGAGCTTATTATATGCATACCGCGGATTGGAAAGCCCTCGTGCGTGTGAGGTCCTGCCTTGAATTTACTTGTTTGTGTAGATCAAAAGAGGCGAAGTGGCCGAGATCCTTGTTTTTATCGTGTCGATTCCGCCCTACTGGCACCGAGCCTGCACAGAGGAGGCAATCCGTACCAGCAAACCATCTGAACAGGCCCAGTTCTAAAGGCTGAATGCCCTCCTTATAAGACCTCTCGTTTAGGATTGATGACAGAACCTGTGACAAAAATATTTATGAGCAAATTAACACAATGAGATGACATTGTTAATAAAAAGAACGAAAAAATCATTTAGCAGCTAAGCAAGGTTTTAAGTTACATATAAAGCGGGTCCTACACGTATTTTCTTTACGACCACTTGTTAATAACATTGCTCTTTCGTGATCAACATCAGCTGTGTTTGATGAAACTCTTGGCAATGATCTAAAGGATACCACCAGCGCATTCAAGATATATGAAGGGTATACGGTCACTCCGCCACTACTAAGACGTTCTCTTCGTAACTGCATAATACCTTTATCGTGTATCACCGTGTTGATCTTTTGTACAATGTATAAGAAAGAAATAAATGAAATATATCAAACACAAGCCGAAATATTTTCCTACCGTTAGCTTACGACCAACCTGGGCGAAGGCCTTCATCAGACTGATGTGAGTAGATGTTGACACTCACTGACCGCTAGGTGGTCCAACTACCAAGCTAATGAACATTTTTGCTCATTTTATAAGAAATAAATTAATCACATTGAAAACGCATCTATTTAGATCAACTATGATAGATAAAAAGTGTCCGAGCTTTCGGCTTGTGTGTCTTTTTCAGAGACAAATATAGGAGAATCGGGCACTTCAAACTATCATAGTTAATCTTTGTAGATGCGTTTCCAATGTAATATATTTATATTATGCATGATAAACTGAAATACATACTTTTTTCAATACAAATTGTCATAAAAATACGATACCTGAAATTGGGAAATACAGGTACATGTATGTTATATACATAGTTTTAGTTTAACTCATATATATTGTCAAAATGTTATGCTTTACCCTCAAAACTTTGGCATCTGCTGTGAATGTTGAATGCTGAATGGTGTATTCCGAGGACTCGACTCTATCCAGGGTGGCGGCGGGCACGTGGGTGGCTTGACTGAGGTTTGAAACAACGGAGGCAGGCGCAGAAAGTGCTTGGTTGAAATTATTCTGAAAAGAATTCACAGAAGGATTCGTTTCCGGTATGTTTGTTAGGTCATAAGCACCCTTCTTTTAAGTGAATTTGTTCGTCCATTTAACCGTTAGCTTAGAGTTAATTTTTTTAGTGTATATCAAGAAGCAGGTTCTGAATAATGCAATCATCTTGCCAAATTTTAAGTTCGTTTTTTCAATTTAACATTTTTAAAATGGGAAAAACATATAATCATACGTACTTGCCCTAGCAAAACAATCGTAACGTTTGAAGCCGATTTTGGTCTTTCATCTTCAAATCTGAGGTTGACAGAACTCAAACTTGGCTGTATTATTCTCGAAAAAGATTTTAAAATGTAGGAATTACGCGATTTTCACAGTGAGCGTATCATTGATCACTATGGCTTATTAAATACTTTAATATAATGAATATTAGCAACTGTATTAGCCAACTTCAAGGTGATGAATTTAATCAGCATGATCTTTATCATAAATGGACATATGTGTTCAAGTGCACAAGGAGCATTACTGTAACAAAACCAAATCGTTGGCGCTGTCCCATGTCCTTGGTACTCTTCCTGTGTCCGAAAACAACCTGGCCTCTTCTTCTGTCAATGAATTATATGCCCAATACAGAACATGTACAATGTAGTTCCTGGTCACGAGATCTCGGAGATAGTGAGCCTTGAACAAGTTACGCAGTGGAGTGAAAACGCGCCGAACGCTGACTGTTTCTAGTGGAACAACCTAAAAAATGAAATTTGAGTTGAATTTTCTGACTGTCTTTTGCTTTAATGAGATTGGGTGGCAATAAGAACTGCATCTCCTACGTAACATCACTGCTCCAACAAGTAGGCCCTATATTCGTCTGTATTTAGGAATACGTTTATAACATGTAAACTTGATACGTAGTTTCAATAATATGTTTATTTTTAATCAAATCTAAGGTTCCTTGTGCTTTTTAATGCCCTAATAGGGTTCTAGGGTTCTAACGCATGCGAAGTGGGATTTTTAACCAATTATTATTGATCAAATTGCAAAGAGATTGCATTTGACATATTATTGGATAATTACCTTTATCTCAATTTCGAATACAATTCCCAGCAGTCCTAAATTACATCGCAATGCTTTCATAACATCAGGTGTCCTGTCCTCAGTAAACTGTCTGACGCTCCCCCTTCCGTCAATCAATCTTGCTGCCGTCATGAAGCCACCTATCGACGGTTCATTGAAGATTGCAGACTGAAATAAAAGGCATTTGCAGATAATTCGCCTTTCTGATCCATGAAATATAAATAAAAAATAACAGCACAACTTATATGATTCAGTATCAATTCCATATTTATAAAAGAAACACTTTCCAAGTATTCATAAACATCCTATCCGTTTCAAAAATTAAAATAAAAATAAAAGGATGAATCTTTGTGCTTTAGATTAAGCATCCCAACAAATCAACGAACATACACCCTGGGTTTGTGGTCCTTGAACCCACCACTCTGTTATCAGCATACTTGGAGGAAAGTTTCAAGGTAGCCCTGGCACTCAGGGTGAGTACAAAATTCTTCAGTTTACCGGTGTAGTTAAAGGGTATCATTTCGCTGCCTTAAATTGTCTTAAATCTTCGTAGATCAAGCTATGTAAAAAAAACCCGTACTATGGTGAATTTAGTATTTGTCGAGGCAAAACATTCTTTAACCCTGAGCACCCCTTAGATCCCTTATAAAGAACCCCGGATCCGTCTGTTGCAGTTACTATACTTCAAAACCAACAATAAGACGAATATATCCAGATGGTATACACTGGAGGCCTATATGTATATAAAATATACATCAGGAATGGTTTGTGTTGGAGCCCTTAAAAGGGAAATGTTTCATTTTCATTTATTTATTACCTTGGTCTCTTGAGGACCATCAGTCTAGTACTGGTACAAATGTTACAACGACTATAGTTACAACTATAGGGTTATTACAAGGAATAATTATAATAATAATAATCGTAATCATATTCATCATAACAATAATAATAATACCTGTAGTAAATTAAATACATGAGTACTTAAATAAATAAACTACTTAAATAAATCAAATTTAATCAAATTGAATCAAATGAGATCAAGTTGGATCAAATTAGATCAATTTAGATCAATGTAAAATCATTTAAGTTTAAAATGTGAAAAAGTGAACATTTAATTAATATACAAGGAAAATTACAAAAAGATTAAGAACTAAGACTTAAAGCGAAGAACAGACCAAGGGCAAAAGCTCTAAAAAGCACCTACTGCCTTTAAAAGTCAAAAGCCTCTTGTTGCTTGATAAAAATTTAAGCAATGTGTCTCACGTGTGATGAGGTCGCTATAGATCCAGCAACGGTCACGTCTGAAACGAGGGGCCCGAAGGGAAAGGCATATCCCATGACCTCCAACTCTCTGTCCAGTTCTGCCTGAGTGACGCTAGGTGCCACTTTAACCACGGCAACTGGCCGATCGGGATTCTGAAATATTACCTTTCAATCCAATACCAGGCGAAGTCAGTGAAAAGATATTTACTGTACTGATACTTCAAAAGCCTGCCTTTTTATTCTTTAAAATAGTTACATTTACTTTTATTAAGATACGAATTGAAGCTGAACGTAGAGATACATGTAGGTATCACATGGACAGAAATGCTTCAAAGGATGGAAACATTTAAAATGTGAACAGAGCATCGCAAACAGACTAGAAGAGCATACAAATCATTTATTTCAGAGGCACACAATGAACTTGAGGACTTTATAAAACAAAGTATTTCTTGTACTAGAAATTGCATATATATATTCCCTCATCACATCACCGAGTTGTTTGTATACCATACCCAACCCATTTACAGAATTATAATTTGTAACCCAGTTTTAATTTTTGAGTTCTAAAGCTACAAATTTTTTTAATCACCCTCGTCGTGGCGATGGATATTGGTGATTCCCACCTGAGACGATAGAAATTAAAAGGGTTTTAAGATCGTAATTTTTAACGGTTTTGAATGGAGCATTCTTTGGCGATAAAGGAAAGATACACAATTTCCAAGAAAATTAATTAAGTCTACTCAAAGTTTAATGCGAATTGTTTGTCTTTCATAATTACATACCAGTGGCTGAAGAATCACCCTTTTTCCATTCTCTAATGCGAGATTGGACAGATTTAAATGGATGTGACCCCTGTCGCCGAAGAGAGGAGAACTGCTGTGCGAGCTTCCCACAGCACGCACTTGTCTTCTGCATGCGTGCGCGGCATATACCGCTCTCTGTATCTGAATATAACGGACATAAGTACGGATAATCGTTTTCACATTTTTAAATTTTTTGTCAAAGATGGCAAAAGAAAGTCACATGTTATTAATTACACAAAACTTTTATGTCAAAAAAGAGATGGACTTTTGGGCCTTAATAATGGAAATAGTACCTTTATTTATTAGTGCAATCAAAGAGCTACATTTATATACCTGAGGACCATATATATATATATATATATATATATATATATATATATATATATATATATATATATATATATATGGAGAGAGAGAGAGAGAGAGAGAGAGAGAGAGTTATTATGCACAGTGTCGCGATAAATAATTCTTATCCAAATGAAAGATGTTACAAAGGCCCAACTGAGTTGTTACATGTGCAGTCCTTGCAAGACCCTTGAAAACTGACGATAACATTTTAAAATACATGACGCAGCTCTTTTTTTACTTCTATTCATTAGTTTCGACAAACAGCTAAAAATATATAGGGTCTATGAATGCGGACAAGATCAATTTCCTTTCTCACCTCCTCCACCGATTCAGGTTTCATCACGAATACGCGATCGTAACTTATTAGCTCTGCCCAGTTTGTAAATGACTCTAAAAGAACCCTGGGTGATGGTCCGACTACGTCCTGCAAGCATTTCTGTACCAACCGGAGCTGCGACGAAACAGAGAGATCTAAAGAAAGATAGCAACAGAAGAATGACTCCGATTTTTTTAAATTAAAATTGGCGACGAGTGATGCGCTGGACTGTCCGTGGAGAGGACATATTAAGTTTAACTTAATATCGCTCGCGTGCACAAGCTTTGGTGCTTTAGATATATAATTGGGCTCTGGATTTAAAAAAATTCGGATTAGACAACCAAGGACATCCTTGAACAAACAAACTAAGGTTAACATAACGGTGAATAGGTCATCTTTATTGCTTTGTCTCCCTGTTTTATGTGAATGTTATCAGCAAACCGTTTCATTTACAATCCAGTCTTATTTTTACCTTTTCTTCTCTACAACATATTGGTACCAAACCAACAGTATAACGTATATCTAAAATTTACTTGAAGTTCTCAAAATAGCGAGAACCAAACACTACAGTCAAACAAAAAAGGGTTCGTCATGGAAATGTCTTGTCAGCATGAACTACCCGGTACATAATATTTACAAAGTATGTAGGGGAGATCGGGGCTAGTTGGACCCCGGGGTAAGTTTCCGGACCTCCCCCCCCCCCCCCCCC